CACATTGCGGCGACTTTAAAAGGTATCGCGAAGCTCGGCGTCGATTTTGCAATATCGATTGCAATTGCATCTAGATTATTATTTTCCATAAATGCGTCGTCATGGTAAACATCGCAAATACAGACATCACGACGATCGGCGTAAGTACTCGCTGAGATAGGCGTTGATTTCATGTTCTATGTCGGCGTCGGTTTTCCAGTTTCTCCTCCTGTGGCGTCCCCAGTTTATGTTCGCTGCCGATAATATCTTGAATCGGCGTCGCTTTGCTAATGCGCTTAGTTCCAGTTATCACCATCAGCCTTGATGAAGTGGTCAGAGATTGCCTCCGAAAGCATTAAAATCTTCCGCGGACACATTCTCACAAAACGTTTCCCATTAGAATTTTATAATTATCCTTTTGGTTTGTTCCGAATTAAGTAACACTTACAGATGATACGGCATCAATAAACAACCGCCAAACGATTTACTCCACTCGCCATTTACGTTCACTGTAACCCGAAAATAAGCCATTTTCATTTACGAAGAAGAAATTATTACAGGCCGCGTGAAACAAAATACGACGACCGCGTAAGTCTCCTTGGCTTTAGGTAGTTAATTCGGCTGGATTGTTGTAACAGCCGCGTTTCAAATTTAAAGGCTTATGTTTCTTTTCTTTGTTTAAGCATAGCAAGCGATAAGATTTCTGTTCAAAAATAAAAAAAATGTTTAATTGTTTTATTTTTCCTGTTCCGAAATCAAAGAAGCTCACGTCTGGAAAACACGAAAGCAAACAGTACCAAGGTTTTCCAAGAATGCGAAATTTAAGAAGCTGTATTCACAGCTCAGAGGATAAGGGTTATATATATATAACTTTGTGCTGGTATGACGTAGAAATATGAGCCTTGCTAGTTCTATATGTCATACATCTCTTTCTTCAACCCTAATCTTGCTATTCACGAGATATATCGATTTGAAAAAATCAGTCCTTCTGGTCTGAATATGGTGATAAACGTACCCCTCAATCTATCAACACTTTTAATTATTTTCGGCTCATTAACAACAAGAATTAAGTCAGTGTTTTTGAAACGATATTATTAATTATCTTCGCTAATATTCTGAGTTTGTATGTACCCCACACACTCAATGCAGCGAGGCTAAGTGTGCTTTTACGTTAGTGTTAGCTCACGTCACGCATACGAGACAGCTGAGTTGCAGGATAGCACTTTCAGAGGTTTTTGTATGGATGCATCATCCATCATCACGCTAAAAAGTTGTCAGAGTGTAGAAACACCTGTTATGTTTGCTTGTAATATAGGAATACCGAGTTTAACTACAGGAAAAGTTTTTATCAACGTAAATACACAAATAATAAAAAAAAATAAAAGGGAAATACATATCGTCTCCACGTTCAGGGTAGAAATAAAAGATGGATGCAGTATGTTCCTGTTAAACGATTGTAACCACCTAAAGACTAGATATCTAATACCACTGTTAAAAGTATATGCGGCAGACAGACAGACAGACATGACACTAGAGCGA